TTACCAATATATTATCTTGACGAACAAAATGACGATTATTTTTTGTCCCTAAGTTTCATTAGTTACGGTCTACCTATGTTACTGATGATACGTGGGAAACAAAATATGTGATCCTTTCAAAAAGAGGATGTGGGCGGTGTCGGATTCCGATATTCTGACGTACTACTCTAAGCGAAATCCTGCACGTACGTGTATAAAAGAAAATTAAAAAAAAAACATATTTCCCTATAAAATCAAAACTTCCTGAATGATTATCTTCCTGTGCTAGCATTTAATTATTGATAAAAATCAAATGGAAAATACGTTTGAGATGATAAATGAATGAATGWGGTAGGTAAATTGAAAATGGTTGGGAAACACTGTTAACATAGTAAATGCAAAAGGAACCACTAGCGGACTTGATCGTGTCTTATTTACAAGGAGATCGAGATGCACATCGAGAGAGAGAGAGAGAGACTTTGGCACGAATACGATGTGCACTGGCCTGCTCGGCCACGCTCTGCTTGTCCCTACGAACGCAGCTCATTACCATGTTCATTCCTTAACCCTTCTCCCCGATTACCACCACCTCTTCCTTCTCTCCTATTTTATCTTCTATCCCTTCACTTTTCTATCCTCTTTCTTCTGTTCTCTCTTTTTCTTACTCTAATACACTATCTGTGTTCGTCTATCTATTTATTTATCCATCTATTTAAACCAATCATTTATCTACCTATCTATCTATTTCTCTTAACAACACGGTCTAACTATCGGACTCTATTCTCCTCTTCATTTTACGCTCTCCGAACGCGTCTTCTATTTTCTAGAACAGAAAATCCGATACGAGCAAAATTATCCGACATTGAGAGATAGAGGATGGATGAATTCTTCTCATTCTTTTGCGGAAAGTTCAGCGAACGAGTTTAGCCAAGTATTTAACATTGTTAACAGTAATCTTATCTTAGTATATATATAAATTACGTGTCACGTAGTTTGTCCGCAATGGACTCCTAAATTAGTGAACCGATTTGAATAAAATTTTACACACTATGTGCAGTTTGATCCAACTTGAAAGATAGGATAGTTTATATCTCAATTTATAATCGCAATATTATTTTATTGCGATCTATTTGTTGTCACAGCAACGCGTGGCGGGACGCACCCCTAGTATAAAATAAAAAAATCAATTACATACAAGTTGTGTTAATCCTACGGGTCTTATATTTTCTAGATACAGCATTGAAGAAACGATCTTTATGCGAGTCGTGTATCAAGCCTAATTAGGTAACATAAAAGGACGCCGAACGTCTATCCTACCTGCTGCTGCTGCTGCTACTACTACTCTCTCGCATCTAACTTTTGCTAAAGATTTTCCCGTTTGTTTTTAACGAAATAACGAAAATTAAATTAGGCAAGTGTAACTTGAAAGAAAAAAAAAAAAAAAAAGAGAAAAAGTTATGTGTATACTTTCTAAAATAACAAAAAATAAAAATAAAAATAACAAAATACATTCGTATAAATAAAAAGTCAATGGCGACGTTAATTAACTCGTTAACTGACGACGATAACACGATGATGAGTCTCTTTTTTTCTTTCTTTCTCTCTCTTTCTTCTCAATTAAGAAAATACGTACACTTAAATATATTTATCTCTGTTCTCTTATCTTTCCGACCTATTTGCTCTCCTTCGAGAGGGAAATCACAAGTCACGGTGAAAATCACAGTAATTGCTTAGACGAGAATTTGGGTTAGCCTACTCTCTTCTTGTGGAGGACACCTCTTTTAATCAAATCATTTCAAAATAAGACTATAACTAAAAAACATTGAAATTTCAAACGACAAAAGAAAATCTCAATTGTATTACGATAAGTTATTTCTTTAAATTGTTACTATTTAATTAAAATCATAGACAAAAAATTGTTGTTATTGTGAATAATAAAAATAATTAAAGTTAACGAAAAAAAGAAAAAAAGAAAAAACAAAAACCATCAAATCAGCAAAATTGAAATTTACATTGAATCTAATCGTTCTCCGTTTTCACTGACGGAAGATAAATCAACACGGTTATGGTGGTTCTCTTCTGAGAAACTTGTAGACGGTGAAATCTCATCTTACGTCACATGTTCTCCTTGCATGCATCTCTCTAAAGCCGTCCTACGATCGTCATTCTCAAACTTGAACGAAATAAAAAGAGAGAAAAAGAGAGAAATGGAGAGAGAATGGAAAGTACAAGATCGATTTTGGTCTTCTAGTGGTTGGTTTGGTTCACGCAGCTTCCGATAAATCCGATGAACGTCGAGAATATGATGATGTCGAGCTTATTCACGAGAATGCATACATGCATGCACATACATACGCATATATATATATATGTATAGAGAAATAGGATTATGTATCGACAGCTATGTCCTCGTTTCACGTTCATATTTACTTTCCATTCTAACTAAAGTTTCCTTTTTTGAATTGTTCATAATGAACGAGAGACATTTTGAAACAAAGTATTATTATTTCTATTTATAATAGAAAATATATGGATAATTTTAGTTCTACTACTATTATATATGCGCGTTATTCATTAAGTTTTTTTTTTTTTATCAACAAAAATAAACTATCAATAATATAATAATTCATTTAAAAACACAAATTTATGTTTGCAGTTATTTTAAAGGCGGTCAATTCAAATGCATCTCTTCCTGGTTCTCAACCATCGTAATGGATTACAAAACAAAGCGAATAATACACTAACGAAGTGTTATAACAATTAAAAGTGTATGAAATAATTACTAATTCGTCTATGTAACTTTCACTTCTTCTTCTTCTTCTTCTTCTTATTATTATTATTATTATTATTATTATTGAATCAATTTTATTTGAATAGTAGAATCACGCGCATATAATAGTCGAGTTTACATGTTGGTTCTTTTTACGAGAAGAAAATAACGACGAGAAAATAATTCTCAACAAATGTCTGCTAGATCATTATATAGATCGTTATATAGATTATTATCGATCTTCGCACGCACAAATTAATTCCCTTTCTTTTTTTTTATATCATATAATATAATATATATATCAAAATAGTTTTATTATCATAATCTTTTAACTGAAGAAAGTAAACTGTAATAAACATGCAAGTAATTCTTCAATCTATAAACCTAAATCATATGAAAAAAAAAAAGAAAAACATTAAAAGAAATAAACGTAATTAAGAAGCCTAATTCACTAAAGATACAATAATATCTCGATGATATTATGTTCTAAGATAAAAAAAACGATAACGAAATTGACCGACTTTTGTACATCGAACAGTCTTCACTGAACGCTGCTAACAAAACCCGACAACCATAATCCAAAGACCTTTCCGTTTCTCGATTCAATTTACACCTCTCATATTATATCTATTTAATCAGCTGTTCTAACAAATATCAAACTAACAATAGACTAAATGTTGTATCGATTTAAATCAATAACTAAAATTATTACTTACAAACGAAGAAACAGAAAAGAGATCGATTGTATAATCATCTATAGATCTATAGAGATCAATGCAATTCCTTCTTTTATTTAAACAGCTGATAATAATAGCAAATACTTGTAAAAATAATCGACTAAATTTCAAATAAAATAATCGAGTTAGGAAAATAGATAAGAAGAGATCGATTGTGTAAAATTGATCTATAGATCTATAGTCCCTGACACTTCTCTCTCTCTCTCTCTCTTTCTGTGTGTGTGTTTCTGTTTGGTGTGGCGCCTGTGGGCCGCGCCTAAACCGGGTCGCCCGATTATAACTCTTCTCTCTTCGTTTCCTGTCTGTCTAATGCAACCGACGTTGCTTACTATAAACGTTAAATATATCTATCTATAGAAATACATACACATGAGAAAGAGAGAGAGAGAGAGAGAGAAATGAATTTCAACAAATTCGAGGTTAATTACATAATTCATTGTTCTCAGGTAACGAATGTAAACCTTCGACGCTTCCGTTTAACTCATTTTTGTTATTTTACTTCAAATTAAAGTCGAATTTTGTCAACTATTTTCTATCAAAATATCATCATTAAAATTCTACACGTGTGATAATGAACAAATGAAGAAACTGGAATTGAATAAGGCTAATTTAACTCGTAGGTCGATTTAATAACGCTTATTTTATCGAGGTTTGATAGTATTGCTTGCTGGTGTTGCTCCTGGTTGGTATGGTTGTTCCTCTTTCTTGCTTGCTTACTTGCTTACTTGCTTACTTGCTTGCGTAATCAAAACGGAATGTATTCGAAGAAAATAACGATACATAATTACGTTTACGACGATTATTGACCGCGCTCTCCTAACTCGTAAAAGCCCAAAGCCTGTCTTTAAATCTACGGATGCCTCCTATGCCTCCTCCTCCTCCTCGGTGATCATCATCCTCGTCCTTCTTAGAAGCAACACACTTTTCCTTTCATGTATGGATTGATTATGGCTTTGGCTTTTTTTACGAGTACAACGTGCTATCTATCTTTCTCTCTCAAGGCTAAACAACAAAATATTGTAATATTATATTTTTCTAATGAACATCTATAATAGAAATTGTGAAATACAATTGTTAATTCAATTGAATTAGTAAACAAAAATGTAAGTAACGTTATCACAAAACTTAACAGGTGTTACAAATCTTTAATTAAAACTACGATAAATAGATGTTATCTATCTATCAACAGTTAAATACAATACATTCCATTTTTCGATACAATATTTTGATGTTATATTATTATTATTATTTTTATTATTATTACTTGTTCCCTTGAAACACAAGATAAAAAAAAAAAAAAGAGAATGCATAGATCTCGATGTAACCGTGGGTGTCTAAAGGTGACACGAGTCACCACACATACCTGCAACTTTTTCTATTTTAACTAATGTTCCTTTAAATAATCTTTAAATGTTGAGATCAACTTTGTTTTTTTTGTAGATAAGACAAATTCTCTCTTTCTGTTTCTGCATTAAGCATTTCCATTTTGGAAAGTAGAATCTAATCGTGCATACTCGTTTGAATTCCTTGAAGAATTTGGTGAGAAGGGTGAGGAATGTCGACCACATAAAGAAAGAGTGTGAGAGTGAGAGAGAGAGAAAGAAGACACAGCTGGGTGGTCGAGAACTCTACAAGTGGGCGAGAACCTAGAAAAGGGACACAAATATAATCCATCTAATGTATCGACATTTTTTTGTCTTTTCTTTTTTTTTTTTTGTGGAAAGCATTTAAACTATATATGCAAATTGAAATTCCAAAAGAAATAGGTGAGGCCATTTGTATTTTAAAATAGCCATATCACCGAAGGATAAATAAATACCTAAGGATGTATTCCCATAATCTCTGTTTCTCTCTCTCTTTTTCTCTTCTCCCTTTTTTACCGATAAATAAACAGGCGCTCGTTCCATGCACATCGATCACTGCAAATAACATAATATGATCCAAAATAACTTTGTTTTAAATTCACATTGAAAATGACGTAGAAAAATTCAAAGAAAAATATACGAAATGATGATGATGACGATGATGATGTTAATGATAATATTAATAATAATAATTATAATAATAATTATCATAAGAATAAGAATAATAATAAAAGATATTTATCTTGGATCGTTCGGTCGTTACGAAGTCGATGCCATGTTTTTTTCTGAGCCAACAACAGGTGGCTCCGAATCGATTGATGTTGAAATAAGAAAAAATAAAAATGAAAAAGAAAAGTAAAGAAAGAAATAAAAATAACATATTTCAATTGAAAATCTTACATTTGTTTGTTGTTTCTCGAATAATATGTTGCTCCAATACGTTGTTGTTACCCGTAAACAAAAATCTTTAGAAAATTATTGCACAATTGAAATTAACACACTTTTTAACTTTAAATTATTTTTCTTTACATCGATATACATGCACTAAGTCACAATGATCACATTATATAAATCACTATAATAACAATGTTTAAATACACGTATAAGATAACACGAAACAAAAAAACTCAATTGAACAACTAAAGGACGCGACGCGACACGACAAATTCGAATACAAGAAAGCGTGACACCTCGCCCGATGGTTGGCGAGTGAATGAGACGGGATAGTCGTTAGCTCCCCACTACCACGCACCCTAGCAGTCTCTCGAGGAACTATTCTCTACTTACACTGTCGGTAATACATGTATTCTATTTATCGATTGTGATAAGACAGTTTTTAATAAATACATTGTAAATAAATCAATATTTTTTAAATAAAATTACTATTTATCCAAATCTATTTAATATATTTTTCCTTTTATATTCTTTAATATATAATAAAAATTTTTTATAAAATATATAAATTAATATATAAATATTTAAGGAATATAATAAAATCGTATATAAATTATTTAACTATATAAATGATTTATTTATTTTCAATGTGTATATTGAATTCTATACATAATAGCATAGGACTGCAATACCACAATCGATTTTTCTAAGTGTTATTTATGTTGTGCGAATGATCATTGCAAAATTATTGGTAACATATAAGGCAACATATTATTTTATTTTTTCGTAAATTAATTTTCATTCCTTACGTTTCTTCTCTTTTTTTTTTTTTTTTGGTGATATGCAAGACTTCACACATACACTCGTGCAAAGCATCATGATTATTAATAATAAATCTAATGCATAATACGTATGTACTAATTTAATATCTAATTTTTTACTACTTTCATTTGGAAAATAAGTCACCCATGGTTTTTATCGCGAGCATAAGTTTTTTTCTTTTTCTATAAACACTTTTTAAAAATTTTCGTTATTTTATACCTAAAAAAAAAACGTTATTAAACAATGCATAAAATATAATTAAAAACATGTGCTCTCGTATTGTACACACATGCATATAATGTATGTACATATTAAATTCATGGCATGCTATGTAAAAAATAGATAAAAATAGCATCTTTAATAATATGCAATAGCAAATAATAAATTGTAATAAAAAATAAATCATTATTACAGATTATCTAAAAAGTAATTATACTTAAAACAATATTTACAATAATAAGAAAACCATATTATTTAACTGTATAGCATCTAGATAACCATTTCTTTTTAGTGTGACATATTATAAACGTTACAACTAAGCAAAAGATAAAAATAAATAAAATTTAGAAAAATATACGATATATATTATATGTATATGTATATACGAGCCTAAGTGGACTAATTAAGCAAATTAAAAAAATATATTTTATCATTTTTACTTGTTCAATTTTTTAACTTAGTCCACTGTCATAATTATCTCCTCATACGCGTATATTTATATATTCAAAATATTTCTTGAGAATGTTGAATGAAAAATCTTAATTGTTAATTAAAACTTAATAAAACATAAATCGTTATACGATTTTTTTTTAAATAAAAATGGTTTCCTCTTCTTTTTCCTTATATAAAATCTTATCTATAAATCCATATATTTTATACTTAATAATACTATTGAAAAAATATGAAAACTCTTTTTTTTCTTTTACAAATTCTAACGACGGTTGCATGGTACTGTCAGGTTAATGGTACCATTGTTTTTTGTGTCTCTTTAGTTCGTTTTATCTTTTCTTTCGTTTAATATTATATTTTTGGTCCATTGAATATTGCTATACTTCTTTCATTAGGCAGCTTTTCTCTTATGCGAGCTCTTTACTTTCTTTACTTTCAATTCGCTCCAAAATTAATTCATTTTAAACCGAATAGAAAGTAAATAGTTCTGTTATCTTAGAAAAAAGTTATCATTCTTAACAAACTAAAATTTAAATTTGATTCTGATGATATCAAAAGTTTAGGCTATGTTAACTCATCGGAACATTGTTTCCTTTCTTCTTCAACACGTTGTCGTGTACGATTGAAAGCCTCTGTTTTTAAGAAATCAACAGTTTTGTATACCGTATTATTTGGTGGTGATTGAGCAGGTGGTAATGTAGACGAAGCAAAACTTTCACTTGCTTCTAGATCAAGATCAAGATATTGTAACACAACTAATCGTCGACTTGATGCAGGAATGAATGTATTATTTTGATCTTGATAATAATATATCTAAAAGAATAATACATTTTTTAGAAACACTTTCTAAAATACACAATATTATTTTCGTATACTTATTACCTCTTCTTTATCGTCAAAAGCATTATTATCTTCATCTGATGTTGACTGATGTCGAATACTATGTGTATGTACTGGAGGAGTCGGACTAGGTGCTGCTCGCATTCTATTTCTTCCAGGAGGAGAAGCAAGTTGTAAGGGTCCTTAAAAAACAAATCTTATTGTATAATTTCATAATATGAATCAAGGTAACAATGAAATTTCTAAGGCTTACCTTCAATGGGTGACTTGTTTAATGGTGGCTTAAGTTTCCTATTAATACTAGGCGGTTCAGCTGGAGAATTTTCTGAAGAACTCATTTCTAACGTTGACAAAGTTGTACCAGGTGATGCTTCGTTGCTAATTATTGATGTTGAATCACTGGTTTTTCTGCCAGGTTTTAATTCTCTGTACACCACAGGCGGAGGTGGAGCTACAGTTGATGATGGTGTCGGAGTAGAGCCGCAATCCCGTATCAAAGGACTTGGTAAATTAGAATAAGTAGCAGTTACTGAACTTTCTGATCGTGGACTTGGTGGTTCATCCTCATGAAAATCATAACGAAAAACACGTGTATCTTCTACTGTACTAGGTGCAGCGTTTGAATAAACATGTTTTTCAGATGCTTGTCCAGGTTGATGGGATCTCGGAAAATCATAAGATTCATCCGTTATCGTTCCAACTGGCGCCGTGTTTGCAACTGGTGTTGCAGGAGTCGTAGGTTTTGAACTTTCCGTTGCACCGTCCAAATTTAAATAATTGTGACCTGGATTTTCAGGTAACATGTGAGCTGGTTTAGGCGGTCTTGGAGGTACTGGTAATTTTTCTACATCTGGTGGGACAGCCGAATCTACGATTCTTAGCTTTCCAAACCTCTTTCTTACACTCCATGAACCTATTTCTGCATCACCAGAATTGTGAGCTCTGGATTCAGCTGTGTCAGATTAATTTTATGAAGAGTAAGACATTTTATTTATATAGTCAGTTATTTATTCTTCGTTAAATTTTTACCTGAGCGTGGAAAAGTATCCCAATTAACACTAGGTACAGGAGCAGTCCACTCATCATCTGTAAATACACTTTCTGCATCAGTAGTAGTAGGTGATCTTGGTGGTGAAGGTGCTAATCTTCTTGGAGCATCGTAATGTTCTGGTCCTTGTCCCATTCCTGAACTAAGAGAGCTGGTATCGTTAAGACGACGTCCAGATATACATTCGCTGATAGGAATATAAGGTCCAGAGATTGTACTAGTTGGAGATATTGGTGGTGATTCTTGGGATTCGTACTGAAACACTATAAACATAACATTTATAAGAAACGCTGTCAATTATTTGTTAAATATTATTATCAATAAAAAATTAAACGAGATAATCATTTACTTTGACATTGTTGTTCTTCGTCTTGAGTGTAAGCCTTTAAGCCGCAAACTTGACAAACTGCAGCAACCCATTTGTTCATATCTGCCTCACTCTCGGCAACCAAATAATAAGTTCTCTTTGGTGTCTTAACGTTGAACGTAAATTGATACTTTTGCTTACAATTTTCAAACCTGAGACCAGCGTCAACCTATTAAAAAGTATATTGTAAATAATAATAATAATAATAATAATAATAATAATAATGATAGCTTATAGAGATAAAATGAAGAGTTAAATATTACCTGTTCGCATTGATCCAAATCGATGCGTCCCTTCAACTTTCTACATCGCCTGTCAGTATAATATTCTAAAAAATATTGTCCAGGTAATTCACCACTGTGTCGAAGAGCAAACCAACGTTTCCTCCACCGCTTAAATCCAAATAAAACATCAATGAATCATTTTAGAACTTTAAACTATTATTATTATTTGACAAAGAAAAGTCCAATCATCACAAAAATAAAGGTTAAGATTTGTATAGAAATTAGTTAAACCTCTTGCATGTGAACAATGTAAACAATGATAAGTTAATAACCCAATGATGAACCTGTTCACTATATAATATATGCATATATGCATGTATGCATATAAATAAATATAAAATAAATAAAACTTACAGCTCTCCATAACTTAGTAGGTGGAGATTTGATGAGCCATCCTTCATGAACGATTTCTTGAGTAGTTCTAAGCACCTCCATGCTATCCCATGAATTCCTAAGATTTGATTGATTCTTAAATCATTTCAATATTCGATAACATTGTATAGAGATAGTAGAACCACCGACACACAGGACAACGGCACGCTCGTCGCCCATTTATCTATTTTTGGACGACACACTGACGATCACACGAATATATGAATCGCCTGCTGATCTCTTCCACGACGACATAACCACCATCACTATTACCAATACAATTACAATACTATAGTAACAAAACACTTACACTTATTTATCTAAGCATATATGTGTGAAGAAGAGAAAGAAAGAGAGAGAATATTAAAAATCGGGGCAAATTGAAAGAAAGAGAGAGACGTGTATATGTGTATCGTCGCCATTACTAATACCATTATAAACACGCGTGCCAAGGTTCGTTTTGTATATCTGTATGTGTGTATGTCTGTGTTTGGCCTCTCCTCGATGACAACGCACTGACGTACGATTTGCTAGTGTACCATCGACCATGATTACACATATCCTTCTTTTTCTTTTCTTTCTTCTTTTATATATATGTATATATATTTTTAATTATCACGAGTAATAATTATCCTCCAGCCATTCCGCAAACTACCACTTTGAGGTTAATTTTTTTCTACGAGTAATTAGCTGATTAATTGTCTAGCTGTCAGGTTAGAATGATTCAGTTTTTTTTAATTGATTAAAAATACAAAAACATTCGACATTTAATTCTTTTTTTAATTCTAGTTTACATATGCATAGCATTCTTTTGATTGCAATGATCGGAAGGTAATTATGTTACATATCGACTTGAACTAGGGTTTTATTCGAGAATAGAAAACTCGATAATCGATAATCGAAGTGGCGCGAAATTTGAAACTTCTCGCGTAGACATGATCGCAAATTGAAATATAAAATTATTTGATGTA